ACTGAGTGCGATATGCGTCGATCACCGACTGATCAACAATGGTGATAAAAGCAACAACAAGATGGATGGGTTCCTGATTGTGATCAGGAAGACGGGACAAGGCATCGGCGACGCGGTTCGTTCCACCCTTTATAGTCCGAGTGATGAAGTAGAACTCAAATAAATCACGCCAACAACGTGCCTGTCAAGGGGAAAGTTTGAGCCTCATGAGGAAAGTCTCAACAACTGAGTTGTTCGTGCGTGCCGTGAAGGGCGCTCTGTGTAGATAATGACGCCAATGTCGGGTAGTATAAACTATTGCAAGAACCTCACGTTCATTAGCAGCGTAGTTTATCTCGACAGACAATAGCTGACGAGAGTAGAAAGCAATTGGATAATCCCCAACATGAGCCGCGACAGTCCCATCCTCCACGATGGTTGTGGAGTATGTGACGAGAGGACTGTGAGTGGAGCGAAGTGGTGGGAGGATAGACGTCAGTCGAGAAGCAGTGTTAGCAGGAAAGGGGAGGAAGTGAGGAACATGTGGATAAGCCTGAGAGGGAAACACTTGAAAGAACACAACTCGCGCTGCAAAATCTGACACATTTGTGTTGATGCTGAAAGGACGGTCAAAATCGGGGAGGCAAGGAACCGACACACAAGTCACCGCCTTCTTGAGGGTATGAAAGGCGTCCTCACAGAGGGGTGTCCAAAACCATGGCGGGTTCTTTCAGAGGAGGGTGGAGCTAAGGACAAAGGAATACCTAGCGTATCCGTTGATGAAATTACTATAGTAACTATTGAGGCCTAGGAAAATGCGAAGGATGTAGGGACGGACCACTCTGCAATAACAATGATCTTCGCGTCGTCCATATGGACAGCCTAGTCAGACACATAGTGTCCAAGAATTTTCACTTTGCGCTGAGAAAAGTGGCACTTACTGAGCTTGGCATAGAAACCATGCTTGCGTAAGCGTTGTTGTAGGACATCGTGGAGGTGTCTGATATGGTCTTCTAAGGTACAACTGTAGACCAAGATGTCGTCCAGGTATACGAGAATGTATTCTTCAAGGACGTCCCTCAAGATATCGTTCATCGTCGTCTGGAAAATGGCGGGTGCATTGGTAAGGCCCAATGGCATCACAGTGAACTCCTACTGGCCAAAGTGCAACCGAATGGAGGTCTTCGGTTGGTCCTCTGCGGCAATCCGGATCTGGTGGTAACTGCTACGAAGATCGATCTTCGTGAAGAAGCGATTGTCCGCCAGATGGTCAAACAACTCATCCGCATGAGGTATGAGATTGTTGTTCTTAACCATGTAATGATTAAGGCCATGGTAGTCAATGCAGAGGCAAAGAGTCCCGTCCGCTTTGCGAGCAAAGAGGACGGGTGCAACCCAAAGGGACTTAGTGGGTTTAATGAAACCCAGTCGAAGGAGCTACTCAAGCTGGCGCTTTAGTTCCGTCGCCTCTAGAATCGAGAGTCGATAGGGTGTCTTATTGGCGACACTATAGTCAGGCACGAGCTTGATAGAATGCTCAACACCACGCATTAGAGGGATCCCTTTGCATGAGAAATATAGCAGGAAAACGTAGCAGAACTCACGAATTAGATCGTGAACGATAGACTCTAAGTCGGTCTTGAACCTCGTGAGTTCCTCAACGTCTGTGTCGGCAGTAGACGTATTTGTGGACTCGGCAATGAACAACGTAGGGACCTAGGATGTCGAGGGGGTATCCGCAAGCTGAAGGGTGGATAAAAAGATGGGAGCCGCGAAGATGGACGAATGGTCAGGGGGATTGGGCTCGAAAGAGATGGGCTCAACCTCTGGACAAAGTGGATCATAATGCAAATCATGACGTTCACTGAGTAGAACGTAACATCCTCTTGACATATGAAGTGAGCGAACTTACTGGGAGAAGTGAAGGCGATGTCTGGGTGGAACCTAGAGGAACAACGGTCCTAGGGTAGTAGGTCGGGAGGGGTGTCGCCCGTGTTCCAGTAAAGGGGACTCGATGGGTCTGACTACACTTTGTTTTGAGAACGATTGTTTCGATCGCCCATTCTGCCTTTGTGCCACAGGAGTGGCGATACCAAGGAGTGCCAAGGATAAAGTTGTACCCCGTTTCCAGCACTCGAAGTATGCGGAGGAATCGTAACGCCGAGGCGTCTGGGTACTATCCGGTGGCTGGGGAGTGAGGGAAAAGTGGAGTTCGAGGACCATTTGATCGAAGAAGCGCTGCATTTTGTTAGTGCCGACGGTAACTGAGATAGGAGAGTGAGACCCGGAGGTAGCCAGACGAGTTTTCTTAACTATGTGAGGGTGAACGAAATCTCCTCGCGAGCCAGAGTTCCATAAAGTGTGGTACATCCTCATAGATGTCCCCAAGCGGATACAAACGATAGGAAGGGTGCGATCAGAGTCGGAGAGCAAAGCGAAAAGACAACGCAGGACGTTAACGAGTCCCGTGAGTCACTCCCGACGAGCCTGAAGAATGCTCAAATTCATGAGAGATGACACAACGTCACCGCGAGTCCTCTGGTGGGGTAGCCAAAGGGGCAAACCGCGACTAAGTGTTCAGGAAGTCGGCTACGTGCGAGGCGTCAACGATACACTACATTGTGGCTAGTTGGATGAGACTGGCTAGGCGGGGCGAGGAAGGGAATAAGATCGGCGCTAACGAGAAATGTCAGCATAGTGCCGATCGAGGGCGGTATGGTATGGACAAAGTGAGGAGATGTGTCCATCTTGGCAGCAACGAAGGCAATCGTGACTGGCCTCAAGGGTGGCACGCTCCTCAGGGGATAGAGCTCCGCAAGAAGGGACGAAACCCTGCGGGAGGTCTATCTGAGGGACCACGAATATGCAGACCCGCTTGTGCAACCCGACTACTCGTTTGACCCATAACGGACATCGTCATTGGCAAACGGTCGGCCACCGGAATAGTGTCATCATCCATGTTGTACTAGATAATGTCTCGAAGCTTGAGGTTCTTGGGGGCGTTCCCAAAGGTAGGGTCAAGCTCGGTTGAGGCGTCCTCGCCATACTCGAAAGAATTATAACGCCGAGAAAATGGCACTCCAGGACGAGCTGGTCGGCAAAAGAGGTCGACAAAAGAGGATCGACGGCGAGTAGTGCCGCGTGACTGGGTGGAGGTGGCAGATCGTGAAGAAGATGGGGCCTCGGAGAAGCGACTCCTCATCTTCTGGTACGAGCGATTAGCCTTGTACGCCTTCTCTATGGAGGCGAAGGTCTGTCGTCAGAACTCGATGCGGTAATCAGTCGGAAGACTGACAAGGAACTTGTTTGTCAGAAGGACCTAAGGTAGGAGTGCCTTATCGCAAATGAGGCGGAGGTCCTGAAACACCTGAATGTGATGTTCGAGGTCTGCTCGTGCGGAGGACCCACGCCAATGAGTTTGGGTGACCCAATCTAAGGTGTCGGTCACGTCGTGAAGAGTGTCATAGCGGTCATGACGGAACGCAGTGAACTCCACGAGTACGATCGGTATAGTAGTTTTTCCATGCACAGAACTCGTTGCCACACAAAATAGTTGTGAGCATAGAGCACCACAACTCGTGACTAGTGTTTGTCAGTGCCAACGTATGTGTGACAACCTGCAACCAATGCGACACATGAAGTGTACCATCATAGTCGAGTATATCCGACAGACGCACAAGTTGTGTGTCCGATTTCGGATTCAACACGGGTTTCACGTTGAATTATTCAGTGCGCGCTGTATTCACGTTCAATCCCCGTTCAAACGCGCGTTCGACGTAAATGAACGGAGTCCACAAACTTGATTTTGGCGTGGTTGGTGGGGGGTACGGGGTTGCTGAGGGCCTGGGCTGGTGAAGTGGTCTGTTGGGTACCACCTCATACTCTCAAATATATATATATCTATATCTATATATATATATATAGATATATAGATAGATAGATAGATAGAGATATAAATATAGATATATATATATTTCATTAAAAAAGGTAAACAACCCGACCCCGACGTGCAGGGCGTTTTCGGGGTAAAGGTGTTGGGCGGGAGGGTCGCCGTTTCACTCGGTCGCTCTTTGTTTGCCGCGTGAGTCGAAACTCTTCAACGCGACAAACCCGTGTTGTGCATGGCGTCCAACACGCGCGCGCATGCGAGAGAGAGAGAGAGACGACGATGAGAAAGATGACGAGAGAGAGAGAGAGACGACGAGAAAGACGACGAGAGAGAGAGAGATGGCGAGAGGGAGAGAAAGAGAGAGACGGCG